AACATCTAGTGAGGATTCACGATTCCCAACAATTCAGTTCAGATTCCTCTGAATGAGTCAGGTTCCTTAACGATTCTTTTACTGCAGGACTTGTCTTTGAGCAATAAACACATTTAAAATAATTATTGCAAAAGGTGTGGCTTTTCACAGAGTTCAGTCAGATCATTGCCCTTAACTACACTGAAAAAAAAATTGGTGTAAGAGAAACCATTTTTACTTTAAAATTGCTTGTAAATGTTACAAATAATTATAAAGAATGGCAAGCAACATATTGAATTTAACATGAAATTTTTAAGCAGAAAGACTAAAATTGTAATTTCTTGTACTCTAATAATGTTTATTTACAACTTCATAGATTACAGTGTATGTATTAAAATATTAAACAAACAAAGTGTTAAAATTTGATTCATTAATAAGCATAAAGCATACTAGGCTGTATTTGTTTGATTCACTAAAAAGAACTGAGTCATTCATTCAGGAATCTGCACTGGTTGTGCTGTGTGTGTTTTATTCACTTACAGTGGTGGCCAAAATTATTAGAACACTAGTATTTTCACCAGATAAAAAATGGTTTTAAGTCAGATATATACAAACTGAGACAGACTAAATCCAAAAGAACTGTGGCAACGTCTCCAAGACGCTTCAAGAAACCTACCTGCAAAGCTGCAGTACTGTTAGGCACTTGTGTAAAATGCTGTAAAATGAGGATGCTGTCAAAAATAGATTTTCTTTTTCAGTTAAGTTCTATTAACTAAATTAAATCAACATTTGGTGTGACCATCCTTTTCGTTTAAAGCAGCGTTCTTGGTTCCTAACCTTAGTTCTTCTTAATTATTTTCGCTAATCATAATTTCATGAAAATGCACACAAATGTTTCTTTTAAATAGAATTAATTTTACCGCATACAAAAGCGATTAGTAAACTCACCCTTTAATCTCATGAATGTTTCCTGACGTCTGACCTTTGTGAATATGCTTTGCTTACAGAACAAACAAATGCGTGATCAGATGGATTACTACCTGGGGAGTCAAAGGTCAAAGTCCTACCTGCCATCAGACGGCAATGCGCAGATTGTCTACAGGTAGGACATGTAAATGATCCCGATAGCTACATGCAAATGTTTTATGCAAATAGTCACATATGCTTGATAACGGACAGAGAAGCCCACACATTCAAATTCATGTGTCTTCTCCACAGCAAACCACTGAGACCATCCACCCAGACCAACAAGAGCCTCCCCTTCATCAAGGTCATTGAAATTAAATCATGAACATTACCACAGCTCTGTTATGACAACCGCACCATCCACAGTGCAGAGGAATACTAGCAACCGAACCATCACAGACCTTCACCAATGACGTGTGATTGCTTTGATGTCTAAAAGCCTTTTCTGCAAGAATACTTCTAACAGTGCAGAGTTACTGTTATTGCCATTATTACATACTCTAACTATGAATTATCCATGTAGATTTGACAGTTGTTAAAGAGCATATCCATTACTATGAAGACAAATTAAGAAAACAAATGAAGAACTCATCTTTGCATTATTATGAGAATTGTAAAGGGCTTCTAGATGGATTCTGGGGGTATTTTGGTATTTATTTGAGGCTGGCCCTCTGAAGACGATGTCTTTCACTCAACATTAATAGACAGACAGATTGTGTTGCTAAACAGCTCTCCTTATCTCTCGTAATCTCCTTCGGTATTAGCTCGGCTAAACTTTAGTGGGTTTCTGAGTTCACAGAAATCACAGGTGAAAATCTGTTAAAATTATAGAGACAATGGATGGGAAGAACATTTTTATTTTATTTTATTTTTAAAAGAAGGACAAAGGTATGTGAATTAAAGAAGGATGAAGGATTTTTGTATCTTAATTGTATCTATTTGTTAAGGCAGGAAATGTGTTCTGTGGTACTGTTGTGGCTATTGATATTTTTTTTTACAATAATTCAGCTCCCGTTTCATTGATAACTGATGATGAAAGATGATGAAAGAACTGAAGAAACAAAAACTGCAACAAATATTTTTGCTCTACATGCTTTTCTCAACCAAAGAGACACAGCAGGGAGAATCCAGAGACTCACCTTCTATGAAAAACAAAGACGCCTTGTGAGTGTTTCATAAGTTGGAAAGAATGTAACACTTGTCCTCCAGTGAGCCAGACCAGTTCAGGCCAGTAGGGCACAGTGTGACCTCTGTTATCCAGTCCAGCCAGCCTCTGCAGTACAATCTACAGTTACTCAGTTAGATATTTCCAACATTCAGTAAACTGGTTTTATAACACCTAGTTAGAGAAGTGATGTGATTGGCCGGAGCACCTGCCCACCTCAAAGTAATGTCATGTGAACCATTAATAATACCACAGCAGAGATTATTTATGCTTTGTTAATTTATTTCTGGGCAGGGCTGTGTTTAAAAATGCATTTCATAACCATGTTTATCCACCTTCACATTTGTAGATAGTGTGTATATTTTCTCTTTGTGTGAACTTTTAACCGTATGTGAATTTCTTAGGCTTCATATTAGCATGTAATGTCTTTTGTTATTTTTTAATAATATTTTTGTAGTAAAAACGAGTGCTTTGCAATGCTTGAGTTAATGGCATCTTGTATATTTAAATAAATTTGTTTCATGAATGTTGTTGTTGTCTTGCCTTTTCTGTGTCTGCAAAGGAATGTGGTTTATTGTTAGTTTTATGGCATCTTAAAAACAATGAAATATATATCCTATCAAAATTTTATGACATGAAGTAGTACCATGGGATCTGATCTCCACTGTAACGCACCAGGATATTTTATTCCCCTCACATTGCTTGTCCCCATATTTTATCTTCGAGTTGTTTGAGGGTCACAATTGCCTGTTAGGAGGTTGCTTATACATACGTTGCTGTAGAATATTATTTAGCAATTCTGCATTAAATGAATCAAAAGTCATAGTAAATGCATTTAAAACGTAACTATTGCAAACAACGTCATATTCTATTTCACATAAACGCTGTTCTTTTTAACTTTGTATTTATCAAATAATTCTGGAAAAAAAAGGATCATATATGAAGCAGCTCAACAGTTTTTAAACTTTGATAATAAGAAATGTTTCTTCAGCACCAAATCAGCATTTTAGAAACATTTCTGAAGAATCATGAGACACTGAAGACTGGAGTAATGATGCCGAGAATTCAGCTTTGCATAACAGAAATAAATTACATTTTACAATATATTACAATAGTGAACTGTTACTTTAAAATGGAACAATATTTCACAATATTACAGTTTTACTGTATTTTTAATCAAATAAATGCAGCTTTGGTGAGCATAAGACAAAAAATAATAAAAAAAAAACAGACATTTGACCATTTGTGTATTGTATGCATTAACTATTTAAGAAATATTAAAGGTCTGAAACAGCTCTCTATGATATTGAAGCTTATATATATATAACATATATATATAAGGACTGGAGTAAAAAAAAAAACTAAAATGAATAGATGACATCAGGGGAGCCCAGTTCTATTCCTGGAGATCTACCTTCCAGGAAAGTTCAGCTCCAACCCTTATCAAACACGCACCAGCTAAACCAGCTAATTGAGTTCCTCAGAAACACTTGATAATTGCAGACAGGTGTGCTGGAGCAGGGTTAGAACTGCACTGAACTGAACAGGTAAGTAGATCTCCAGGAACAGCCCTCAATTACATACCGAACCAGTGACGTCTGGTTAGAGGAGACCACTACTGACAGAGCAGCGCAGGTACAGAAGACGCAGACAATTTATTAGATCTGATAAGATTTTAGAATACAGTGAAAATCAATATAGACAGTCTCTCATACAACAACCATATCAATTCATGACTCAAACCTATACACACATTTACACCAACTGAAGACTGGAGTAATGGCTACTAAAAATTCAGCTTTGCATCATAGGAATAATATAAATACACTGAAACAGAAATCAGTTATCTTAAATTGGAATAATTTCACAGTATTAGTGTTTTACTGTATTTTTTATCAAATAAATGCAGCCTTGTTGAGCAATATAAGACTTTTTTTAACAAATTTTTTTTTTTTTAATCTCACTAACCCCAAACTTTGTAATGGTAGTATATAAAAAGAGTTGCAAAATTGTGTTTTGTGAATTTATGGCAGTATTATTAATGTTATTATTAGTATTATTATAATGTAAAAAAAAAAAACAATTTAACTGAAACAAATGAAAATGAACATACCGGAGAACTAAAACTAAAATGCATTTTAAAGGTGACATATCATGAGAATCGGACTTTTCCAGGTTTTAAGTGCTATAATCAGGTCCCTGGTGCATCTACCAACCAAGGAAACGTGACAAAGATTAACCTAGTAACTTTGTTTTGGGAAGCCTTTTTCTGCAAGCCTCTGAGAACACGAGCGCGTCTGATTTCGCTCCTTTGGTGACGTGGCAAAGGGATCTCATTATAATATTACCAACATGATAATCAGAACCAAAACAGATTTTATTTAGCAGGTACGAGCTGTAATGGCGCAGCTCTATTCTGGAAAAGGGGACGGGGAGCAGCAGCTCATTTGCATTTAAAGAGACAGGCCCGAAAAACAGCTTGTTTCTGCTTCCACTCAAAATAGGCATTTTCTAAATTATATAATAAACGATCTGTGGAGTATTTTGAGCTGAAACTTCACAGACACATTCTGGGGGCACCAGAGATTTATATTACATATTGTAAAAAGGGGCATAATATGTCACCTTTAATGTCTCCAAAACTAAATGAAATAAAAAATGGCCTTAAAATCAAGATAATAAAATGAAATGTAACGTGTAAACTGAAAATAAAATAGAAACAAAAACTATATATTTTCTAAACTACTGTATAATTGTGATCATTTCTAGATCAAATCATCAAATGAAATTAAAATTAAAGCTTCTAGGCCTTTATATTAATGAGAATTTAAGGTAACTTAATATAAAACGTCTTTCCAGTAACCACTGGGCTTGACACGACACAATCTTTGGCTGCACGCAGTCAGAAGAGGGTCTCACCAGAGTCTCTGATGGCATCTAACGCTTGCATTCTGAAGAGGTAATTATAACAACCTGCACAAACACAAACACAGACATAAGTGTTCACATCTGCAACAGTATTTACAAAGTACTGCCAGGGGCTTCTTTGTTTCTCTCACCATTCTGGCCTTGACGCTTCAGTCGATCGTCATCTTTAGAGAGTAAATGTGGCTCATAACGAATATCGTTCACTTTTGACAAACTGGAATCAATTTCCTCTCTCAGCTCCTGTGAAAGATGCAGCCTTTCTTCAGTGCATTACAAACTTACTAGTAGTTGCAGCAAAAAGCATCATAAAGGTATAAACAGAAGAACAACATCATATAAACGAAAGTGGCCAGTTATATTGTTAATACAATGCAAATTAGATATATGGGACTCTCCACAAGAATCCAGAAGGTAAAGTCTGAAGACTGAAAATTACTTTATGCCTAAACAATAATTAAGTAGGAAGTAAAAAAACAAATAATACAAAACATAAGACATGGAAACGTTTAACTGTTTATCATTTTATACCAACAGTTTCCCCAAAAATATCTTAGTTACTACAATAAACCAGGCAAGTGTGGTATCAGAGGAATTAATAAAATTAAATGTCCTCTACAAAGACACAAGTGCTATTTTGGATTTGATACCTTTGGTGCGTTGTGACCCAGCGGGACGTGCGGTCCTCTGCGAGACTTCATAGCGAAGCGCATAATCTGTCTTTTCACAAAGATGAACAGCAGCACAAACACCTGCAGAATCACAGACGGTTCATTATACACATTACACACTCAAATACAGTTCTGACACGGCCTGCTTTATTTTAGCTGGTATTCTCAGCAGAGAGAGGCTCAAACGTTAATGCGCTGCTTATCTAGACAGTACTTTTTAGGCATCATGGGTGCCATAATAGGACGCTTTCTGGACTCATAACGTTAGGTTTTAAGACAGACACATTGTTTCAGCTTTACTGCTGCTGCTGTAGTTGTTATTACTATTAGTCAACTAAGCATTTACGTATTCAGACTACGTTCATTAAATTAAATGAATACAAATATTATGCAGTTGGGTGCTTACCAAGCTGCCGAAGGCCATTACAAGCACAACATTTACACCGGAAAGAGTGTTTCCTTCTGCCATTTTGAGATCCTTGTTAAATGCTCATGAAAGATGTCTGTGGATTTTAGTGGTCAATGGTCAAATTTAGCTCTTGAGTTGACAGCAGCATTTTCAATAGAGTTTTTGTTGACATCTCTTGTGGTCTCTTCGTCGCATGTTTTGCAGGAAAACTTCCGTCTACTCGTCTGTGACGCCACCTTGTGGCTTGGCATAAATAACGCAACAAAACCCTCTCTCTCTCTCTCTGGTTTTAATGGCGGGTCGCAACCAACTTGTTCAGGTGCATAGTTATAATTATAAACAAAATAAATTAATAAAAATAAAAACACACACACTAAACACACCTATAGGCTATACTGTGCTCAGTATCTTTAAGAAAATTAAAGACAGCCTTACTACATTCCCCCATTTTCTTACCTGCTCCCAAAATCCCCTTCAAACTCCACTTTTGTTCCAACTCATATATCTGATCTTGCAAGATTCTCCTTTCTGTATTATATTTTTCACACAACAAAACCTTGTCGTCTTCTTCTTTTTAAAGTTGTATGGCGGTTTAACGCTACATCAGTTCAAGCCCAGGGTTTGTCAATAATGTCCAATGGGCCTTCAGCGAGGCACAGGTCATATTCAGGTTAGCAAAACAAATATCTCTGTAAATTGTTAAAAACAACACTATTTTCGAATAAGACAGAGATATTACTTATTGGACCAAAAGACAGTACACAGAATCTCTTGGATTACAATTTAACTGACAGCCACCACTGATAGGCTACTACTAAATATTGTAGAAACTTAATTTGCTGTAAAGTTGCTTTGCAACGATTTGTATCGTGAAAAGCGCTATACAAATAAACTTGAATTTAATTTAATTGAACTATTTCATAAATTATTGTATGCATGTCAAAATAAACTACAAGCAAATATGCCACCATTGTATAGCCTATATAACAGCAAACAAAATACAAATACATTTGTAATGTTTTTTTTTTTTAAGTTTGCTCCTTATCAGATAAATGTTTCTCTTTTTTCCCCCTATTTTTAAAGAAAATACTTTTTTCCTCTTTTGACCACATGACGATGCCTTTGCACATTCCAGCATCCTATTTTAAGGGAGTTACTCATAAGTGGCATATATAAGGGTATATAAATTTTCACCAATACCACTGTGTCTGTCGTTGTTCCAAACCACAATGCTTTCTTGTCATCTTTTCCTCTGTGTAAGATTATAGCTCTCTAGGAGTTCACAAGCCACACGCACACACTGTCAGTGTATCCAAACACTGCACATGGTTTTTCGACGTTCTAGACTTGTTTTCAGTGAAAATGAAGTGAGCTGTCTGAGAACATCTGACTTGGCGGACAGCTGACCTTTATCGGATCAACACATTGAACAATGGCACTGATTCTTTCAGAAGGAACAGAGGTAGGTGGCAGATGCATGAAATGACAACAAGGAATGAAATAGTTTCCCAGTAACAACATACCGCAACAATCATGACTTTTTCTCAGGCCTTGGTAAAGAACGCTGGAATAAACTAGAAATGAAAGCTCTATATAGTACAGACTGTGGTAGAAAAAAGAAAAAAGTGACAGCCACTCTGTCCTGTTAAAAGTAAACCACACTAACCATTTGTATCCTGCATTTGTCAGATTTGTATGACAATCAGTGCAGAGATACGTAGTTATGATATCAGATAAGGCATTCAATTTTTAAAGCTGCAGTGAGGATGCAAATCTATTCAGCAGCTAAGTAGTTAAATTCCTCCACTGTGAGCGATTTCTCAAGCTGTTTTGGCTAAACAGGTCATCAAACGACAGAAGATGCTAAAACATCTAATTATACCGTGTGTCCACACAAGCAGCTCAACAATGTGGCTTATTTTGTTTACTTTATCATTCCATCCCATCTTTCATGTCAGTATGTTGCTTGAGTTTACTTGCAATCAAAACTGGTTGAAAGAAACAGTTGCCGTTACATTTTTGTCTCTCTGAAACCACAAACCAGCTTCCTCTGCCGTTGCCATCAGCAGCGTGCATGTGTTTGTGATGCAAGACAGACCGTTGAGTGATGATGGTTACTGCACACACACACACATACATATTTATTCACAGAATGCTTTGAATGCTTGGGATTTGTGCTATTTGATTTGGTTGGCAATATATGTGTGAAGAATGTATTAATAGGTAATGTTTAATTAATTAATGTCACCTTTGGTTTAGTTATTTTGGTTAAATGTGGTGTACATTTATATCACAGTGTGAAATCAATATATGTTTATTGATCCTAATTAATAATAATAGTAATACATTGTATTGTGTAATGTACATGCAAAAGCAATATAAAACAGCACCATAAAACATATTTTCGAGCTTGTAAAAGGTCTGGCTGTCAAGCTTCACATACATTTCAAACATAACTCCCGCCCATCTGCTCTCTCTCAGCCTCTAAGCAGCTCCTTTTGCTGCACTCTTCATTTGCTCTTGCAGCTGCAGGAAGTTGAGCAACACAGCCCACAAGTGTGCCACAGAAATACACCCAGGTAATCAATTGTCAAAATGTTTTGTTTCCTTTTACAATGCATATAGTATTATTATAATGTTTAATGTAAGTAATGCAGTTTTAAAGTCAATTACACCTTTTACTACATCCTATAAGGTTGTGCATGATCAGTTTTGCTGTGTATTGGAACCTCCATCTACAGGCTTTTGTATTTTGAATTCATGTAAATGATGCATGATGACAGCTAACATGTTAAAAAAATGCTCATGTGGTAGCCGTTTGCAAACAGGTCCTTGGCATTTCTGGGTCATGGTTTTCAAGATCCTAAAATTATGCAGTATACTATGCCGCTGGTGTTTCTGTTTTCATTTTGGTCATAGCCAGTCTATTCAAAGTTTTTAATCTTCTTTTTCAAACACTTGCATTATTTTGCATTCTCTTAATTTTAAAAATGCTGCTTTATCATCTTTCCTTGCTGTTCACTGTTTGGTGCTTGATACTAAGTATGTCTTCAATATTTGCCAACATCTGGCATACCTCTCTATATTGTATGTTTATAAGCTCACATTAGTCATATAGTGTTTCAAGTGCTGTAAGTATCTATTTGATTTCTGATTCTCAAAGGGTCTGTTATTAAAGTAGGTCTTAAAAAATAGGATACCTGTTCCTCACTACAACCACAGTATAACAGATCACTGATTTAACACCGTTTTAGAGAACTGTAAAGAACTGTGAGCAAGTAAATATGTACAGAGGAAATGAATGAGCAAAGATGGAGGGAAGACGAAAGATGGAGCAGATAAAACAACAGCAAACTGATTGGATAAACATATTTAGCATTAGAATAACGAAACCCAAAGACATCACTAATGTAAAGACTGAAGGTGTTTCAATGCATGTATCTGGTACTATTTGTAACATCATAGTAGTAGTTAATTGTCAAAATGCAGAAACTTTATTTGAATATATTAAACACAACTGGAGAGATTATTATGCAGCTGAAGACCTGATAAAATCAAAACAAGGTGTTTTATTGTAGCCCTGTGTTTATTCCATATCATTTCAGTTTTAATATAGTTTTTGGTGTTGGCAATCTGATTTTTTCAAATTTGTTTGGATTCTATTACTATTAGTTATGGACTTCAGATAATTAGGGTTACTGAATCAGTACATTTATTTATACATGATGACAATGCATAATCAAATATTTAGATGATTAAATACATACTGCATGTCACTTTTGTCTTTTGTAGGCCAACTGCTGTCCTTTTAACAGGTATACATGGGCTCCAACTGTATTATCTAGGCCTGATAGTCCAACTTAACAAAAACCAGACATGTACGATTTCAGTTTAACTAAAGTGTTTACATTTTAATCCTGAAACTGAAATTTTAAAGTGCGCTTAAATGTTCTGTTTCAAACAAACGTCAGTCCATCTTTAATTCACTTTGGGTTCTGAATTCATCAAATATGTGAACCATGTTCAGAGGTCTTATAACTCCAGGACCAGATGTCTGTCACAAGAATTTACCTACTCTACCCTTTAACACTTACTGAGTCACCAAGAAACCACGGACCAGGAATGTTCTCATTAGACATGAAGGGTGTGCATGTTGACAGGTGTGTATGTGTGTATGAGACAAAGAAACGGAGACACAAATAGATGGAAGGAAAAAAAGAGAGGCAGACAGAAAGAGACGGGGGAGGAGAGAAAGAGGTAGGGAAATGAGAGAGGAAGGCACAACAATCAAAGGGGGTGGAAAAGGGTAAGCATGTCAAACCAGTCAGGCAAGTTCTTATTACAGTAGAAATGCATTATAGAAAAATGACAGGTGTGAGAGAGAGTTTAGAGGCAAAAGGCAGGATGGGGAACACCTGTTCTCTCAAAAAGCTAAGAGACACAGCAGTCCTCTAAGGTACGTTACTTCTATTTGAAGAGCTAAAACTCATGTATATGGTTAGATTATGTGGCAGGTAAAGTGTATGGCCATTGTTGTTCAAGTGCATGTGCCATGGGAGAACAGGTGTTTCTGTAAACTGACACTGACCTGTTTTCCTTGGAAAGTCTGAAATGTTGCAGTCATGTGGGACTGGTAATCTTATTTTGCATCCATATCTGTGAAATACAAGGCAGCAGTACAAGGCCATTTGTGGTTATGAGCAACCATGTAACAACCTATATTTACTGTGTCAACTGTTTTCAATCAGTTCAGGTTTATTTTCATCAGGTCTGTATTTGCGCTCCTGGAAGGTGTATGTCACACCTCTGCTCGCTGTTTGCTCATGTCTTTTATTTTAAACATAACTCTTGACGTATATAAATGTTCAGTTTAAGATAACAAAAGCAGTCTTCACAACAGAACAAGGTGGGGCAAACAAATCTGGAAAAGACCATTACAAAACCCTGATTTAAAATGTTAGCATTTCAGCTGTTGATTCAATATTGCCTAAAGAGTGTTTAAATTGATTTGTATGGAGATTTGCTTGCTTGATTGCATGTGACTATTATCAGATGTTACTGAAGTGTCTGAATGAATTTCAATGTGCTGCTTTGAATAATCGTGGGTGTGTAAGTGAGACAGGGTGCAGAGTTCCTGCTAGACTAATTGACATTATTCACAGGTTTAAAGGGTTAGTTCACCCCAAAATGAAAATTAGGCTGCGTTTT